GTTTTTACAAAAAAAAAATTATAAAGTTGAACAACTTTTACATCACATTTTAAACGGCACATTAATTTTTTGACAAAGTGCTGAAGTTTTTTTTTTTCTGAGATAGGAGGTACCCTGGGGAAAAGTGTCAGCTTTCTTTTGATACCATTTATAATATTAAAATATCCACGACTGAGGTAAATAACTCGCGAAAAGTCAAAATCTATTGAAACGAGAAATCGGCATTTAACGAGCTGTGATGCGGTAGCAGAATGCAGGTTTACTTAGATTCTGACTTGGTTGGAGATTTCAGTATTTTAAAAATGCAATTCCGGAAACTACGACGATGTTTTCAATGTATTTAGTATTGGGCGAAACCGAACCAGAAGCCACCCTTAATGCAGACACAGCAAGAGTTTGTTCCAAACATTTTTGTGCAGACAATTATGCAACAAATTTAAAATACGAACTGTTAAATTATTATTTGCCAAAAGGCGGCAAAAGATTATTGTAAGATGATGCAATTCCTACTCTTTTTCTGCCAAAGAATAAATAAAAAAAATCCGGAAGTGATAGGCCAGAAAGGTCTATAAGAAAAGGAGTTCTACAAAACTGGTGAAACAAATTACATATTGAGACCAGGTATTTTCAATAAAAGTTATTCTAGAGTGAAAGTAGACAATAAGTAGACAATAAAAATATTTTTTTTGCCTTTTAATTAACGCTTTATTTTATTTTTGATTTTTACTTGTTGCCACTTACATATTATTTTTATTACGTACATTAACTTTTACAAACTTACAGAGTTGAAACAAGTGAATGTATGGAATCTGCCAATGAAGACATGCGTATCACTAATAAAATTGACAATGGATTATCTGGGAGTCGATCCGTTGGGTATACATACACTCCAGGCACATAATTCGCTTACCTATCGATAGAATTTTATTTTTTTATTTTGCATGATTTTTTTTTTATTTGCACTTAATAATCTTTTTAGAATTTAGCCTTATTAGTACCATCATTGATAGTGTAAATACGGAAGATATTAATGAAGAAAGTGTTGCTGCTTTGAAGGTACGAATAGAAATGTTTGAAAAGCAACAACAAGCATTTGGATCCCTCTTTACAGCGAAGCAAATACAAAAATTGCAGAATCCTCGTGTCAGGATTCTATGGTCGGTGGATGAAATTTCTCAAGCAATTTCAATTTATTCTGCAGGTCCTAGGGCTTATAGAATAATGCTGAAAAAAGGATTTCCGTTTCCAGCTGTATCTACACTTCGCTCTTGGACCAGAAAACTAAACAACATTTTGCAATTTAATTTTGAATCTGCTAATCCGAATGTTTTGAAATGTTGCAGATGTTTTAAGGCTATAAAGAGCATCATAAATCTTTACTCAAAATATATTTGGTTATCCCCTCCAAAAAATTGATGATGTCAGCTCGAAAGTTTGCCGAATAAATCCTATCTAAACTGTACAAAATATGATGAGTCTGTACTTGTAATTTATCACTCCATTCATATTTTTTGGATTTGCATATACAGGGTGACTCAAAAAAATTAATGAATGCGTAAATTTATTTTATTGATTTACTCAGGAAATACAAAACCGAATGCTTTGAAATCTTGAAGGTGTTTTAAAGTTATCACAAGCATGGTAAGTTTTTGATCAAAATGTATTTGCTCATCCCCCTAAAAAATTTATGACGTCACCACAAAATTTTGCTAAATAAATCCTATCTAAAATGTACAAAATATGATGAGTCTTTTCTTGTGATTTATCATTCCATTCATAGTTTTTGGATTTGCACATACAGGGTGACCCAAAACAATTAATGAATGGGTAAATGTATTTTATTGATTTAATCAGGAACTCCAGAACCGAATGTTTTGAAATCTTGCGAATGTTTTAAGGTTACAAAGAGCATAATAAATTTTTAGTCAAAATATATTTGGTTATCTTCTACAAAAACTGATGACGTCAGCTCAAAAGTTTGCCGAATAAATCTTATCTAGAATATACAAAATATGATGAGTCTGTACTTGTAATTTATCATTCCATTCATATTTTTTGAATTTGCATATACCGGGTGACTCAAAAAAAAAAATGAAATCTACTGCGAAAAAAAAACATAATCGACATGCAGTCGTCACGTTTCCGACAGCGAGGGAAGTACTGTTTAAACTCTTTAGACCAATTTTTATAAATGTGTTATAAAATGTTTGAATTCTGCCTTTCCCGAGTAAGGGACGATGTGAAAATGCTGCAGCAGAATTTTGCGCAATTTTTCCTGTCGATAAGCCTTTAATGTATCCAGTGACCATTTCTGCTTTTTCTTTAACTGTGTACTGCCCCATGTTGACGAATTCCGGTCAGTAAAAATGGTAAAAACCGGTAATCAAATTTTAGAAACGTCACGTAACTGCCCATTCACAATGGACATAAGACATAAGAACGAGCGCATAACATAATTTACGTTTTTGGTTTGTGTCTGGCTTATGCTTATCTACGTTCACAGTGGACAGAGTGAACTCTGTAAGAATTATTAAACTGCGCAAACGCAGAACGGAATAACTCCCGGGTAAACATAGAAACGGATAACCTCAAACTGAGTCAATCAAAATATCTAACCTACAATTTCATACGATATTCGAACTTGACAACTCGCAGAACAGAACAGACTCGCAGTGTGAAGCTTTGATTATAATTTATATAATATAATCAAAGATGTGAAGTGCCAAGTGCCAACTGTCAAAGGGAATTCAATAGCAGCATTCAAAAGTCCCTAGATTTTAACATAATTTTGACATAATTCGTGCACAAAGTTGAATTTGTTTCAACTTTGTGTACGCACACAAGGATTACATAAAACGTTCATAAGCATAAGAATTACCTTCGTCCACTGTGAACAGGGGTACACGTTTTCCATCGTTTCAACTTTATGTATTTATGTAAGCTTTATGTACTTGTTATGCCTTATGTCTATTGTGAATGGGCAGTAAATGTCTATTTTTACATGGCTGCCTACAATATTAACGGCAAAACTACCCAAATAATTTAATTTTTTTAAAGAAATGTCGTTTAATTTAAAGCATAATCTTTAATTAAATCGACAAAAGATGACGCAAATTTCATCCAGTAAAACTTTCAACTCTGAACCTTTACTCAAACATAAGTTAACATGGGGTATAATATTTAACATGGGAATCCCTATGGCCACTTTTAAAAAACATGCACTGTATATAAAAAAAAAATATATAGAAAATGCAGGTTTTTACGTTTGCGGTTTGGTCAGTGATTTAGGTGGTAGTAACAAAACTTTACACAAAAGCTTAGGCGTAGATTTAGAAAAACCCTGGCTTTGGAGTACCCAACAACATAAAATTTTTGTGTATGCCGATGTGCCGCATTTCCTAAAACTAATAAGGAACAATTTTTGGACTATGGCTTTGTGTTAAATGGAAAAGAAATAAAGAAAATCTTTAATCATCAAATTACTTGAATTAACGGAAACTAATTTAAGAATTTCGTATAAAATAACTATGGACAATCTAACTGTGAAAGGACCCCAACGCCAAAAAGTAAAATTAGCTGCAAAACTCTTTTCCCATACTATATCCCAAGCTATTGAAAGATGTGGAAAAAAAGGTCATTTTCAGGAAGATGTACCTTGGCAGGAATGTTCTGTTTTTTTCAGGCAGGTAAAAATAACATATTTAGCTAACTGTAAGTACCAATAAATAAAATTGCCATGTATTGTTTTTTAAGGTGAATGATTGGTTCGACTGTTTTAATACTTGCGTTCCAGAAAGTGACAGCAGTCGCAAGCATTTAGGTCCGGCGAACGGGGCGGCCAGGCAATGGGGCCATTTCGCCCTATCCACCTATGAGGAAAAGCGTAGTTTAAATAATTCCGCACTTCCAGACGATAATGTGGCGGTGCGCCGTCATGTAGGAACCACATGTTCTGCCTAATGTTTAATGGAACTTCTTCCAGTAATTCAGGCAAATCGTTTTGCAAAAAGTTGAGATACTGTATACCATCCATGCGATCCGGTAGAATAAATGATCCAATAAGTATACCATTTACAATGCCAGCCCATGTTTATCGAAAATTTGTCCTGAAAATTTGTGCGGCGAATTGCATGCGGGTTTTCAAAGGCCCATACATGGGTATTACGAAAATTCATTGTACCATTACGAGTAAATGTTGTTTCATCAGTGACCAGAATTTAGTTAATAAAATTTTCATGGTTCATAGTTTGTTCCAAAAGCCATTCTGAAAATCGTACTCTTCGGGGATAATCAGGAGGTATTTTTTTTTTTTTTATTTTATTGATTAACGTTACCCAACAGGCCGGAGGCCCAAATACAGGGTAACGGGGGACATACACAACACCCAGAGCAGGGCGGGAATCGAACCCACGACCCAAGGTGTGGCAGGCAAGCGCGATGCTACCTAACTCACCCGGGTCCTCCGGTGGGTTAGGTAGCATCGGAGGACCGGTATTAAAGATTGCACACGTTGGACGTGATAAGGATGGAGCTGATTTTCACGTAATGTGTTCCATACTTTGCTGTGACATGTATTTACTCGATGAGCAATTTGTCGGGTACTAATTGCTGGATCTTCGCCTACTAATTCTAGAATTTCCTTTTCTAGATCTAACATCTGTTGGAGTCTTGGTCTACCGGCGTGTCCTCCACGATGTTCCTGTAAGTTTCCAGTTTCTCTAGCTCGCTGTACGAGTATCGTAAATTGACGAGGCCCAGGGGGATGCCTTCGGAGGAATCTTTCTGCATACATTCTCGACGCCGCAGTAGCGTTTTGGTGACATTCTCCATAGAGTATTAACATATCTACAAGCTCACTATTTTCAAAACGATAAGCACGTTGAAAATGAGCCATGTCAATAAATTTGAATGACAGCTCTGACAATACTCTAAATCGTCGTCTTCGTTGATTCACTATTAAAGTCTCTCCAATTAGTTACAATCGTCCGACTTGTCAAAAGGGAAAATATCAAAAGATGTCACCCCCTTCGGGAGTTAAAGGAACCTGTAATTAATCCGTTTTGTCACGCACCAAAACAGTTTGTGCTTGAATTGATATTATCAAAATGTCCAAAAAATATTGCTCTGTGCCTGTTTGTGGGGTAATCAAGGATCCTAGAGACCACAAAATAATGCACAGATTCCCTTCAAACACTGTGAACAAAAAGTTGTGGTGCAAAAAGGTTTTTAATGCTACAAGTAGGTACCCCAACATGAATCTTTTACCTAAGGGAATGTATAGCCATTAAAACCATTTCAGGTGATAATATTGCCAATAATTTATACATTTGTGGTAAACACTCTTGAGAGAAATTGTTATTATTCAAATAAAAGACTTAAACCCGGCTCTGTTCCTACTTTGTTCCTCCATGGTTCCAAGTCACCGCTACCTGTTCCTACTTCTTCAAGCTACCCAGCAAGCACTAAACGTGATCCAGAATGCAACTTCATAATTCCTGTGACACATTCCGATAACAATGTAAACATCTCAAAGAAAAATTTTCCTACTGCATATCCCTTTGAAGACCATCCACGCCCATGGCGTTGTGACTTTGGCACCGGTATCGAAATTTTGCCTCTTTTTCGAGTAAAAACCGAAATACATGATGTCAAATTGTGTCAAAAAGTCAGACCATGACAGACATTTAGCCGACATTACAGATTCCTTTCCCTCCCGACGTATGCGCCCTCACATGTCACATTTAAGGGATTGGAGAGACTTTAATAGTGAATCAACGAAGACGACGCTCTAAATTCATATCCATTACAATGATATTTTTTGTAAACGCTAATCTTTAATTAGAAATTTTGGACAGGACCGTCTCTAAAAATTTCTAAAATTTATAAAAAGATGAAATCAATAAATATTGAAATTTTACTAAGGTAATACAAGCTAAACCGCTCTAGAGCAAGGCATAAAACTACGTGTTAAAAGGAATGTCTCAACTTAGCGAACACCCTGTATTTGCGCAACAGAAAATACATTCCATTTACAGGATAAAAAATATTAAACTATAATGCAATTATTTTTAACTCTAAACTAACAATAAACTTAGACTAAAATTAAACTTAAATCATGCCTATATTATACCAAATGTTATACACAACAGCAACAGATCAAATAAATCACACTGAGTTAAATGTACCACCACCATAATATTGGGAAACTGCTTTTTTAATATCTCTTAGTTTACCGTTAAAAATATCAAATTCACCAAATTTTTCTATTTTGTTAAGCTCATCAATAGTTCATTAAAGAAATTGTTTATTAATTTTATTTGATCCTGTGTCAAATTTGACGATTTACTGGATTCGAACGAGCCCAGTAAGATCAAAATAACGGAATAAGTTCGGTAAAATTGAGCCAAAAAGGACAAGTCCTGTAAAGTGTCATTATGTGTTTAAACATTTGCCAAACAGCGGTTGCTAACAATGTCAGAAAAAGTGACTCGATTTGAACTTTCTCTCAAAATAGTACTCCCCTAATTACTTTATCGAATAAAAAAACATGTTCACAGTATGAAATAAAATCCATAATGACATACGTCCGGTAACTCTTTTCACAGTACTCGTTTCGAAATTCAAGACTCGGCTCCCTCCGGTCGCCTCGTCCTGAAACATCTCACTCGTACTGTAATAGTAATTTTTGCACTCATGACCTTTTTTGATGGCTTTCGCGCATTCACCAGGGTGCGGGAGTTCGAACTTCCCCCACACGTGCATTTTAACTTTCCGTTGCCATGGTAACCTTAAGATAGTCGAGTAGTGTCAACATTGTGACTTGTTGATGGCGCTGTCAATGCGGTTGTTTATAAATAACTCACAGTTAATCTCTTCAGTTTAAAAGTTTATTCGTTGCAAAAAATATTGTACACAACACGTTCGTGAGCCTGCTTCCCGAACTAGTTGTGTAAATTACTATTAAATTTTTGTAAACTTTTAACATTTTTCGTCAAAAATTGAAGGTTAATTTTTTCAATTTATTGTCTGTTACAGTTTCCACTCTGCTTCATGCCTGCTAATGAAAAAAATAGTATATTAACCACGGTTGTAAAGCCACTTCTAGACCTCGCGCTTTAGAACCCTCGACGCTGCGTGTATCGGGTTCTAATTTGCGCTTGGTCTAGAATGCTTGGCTTTGCAACCTTGGCTAATAATATACTAATTTTCATCATCACGTTCTATATTTGTTAATAATAGGTATACCCAATCAAACGAAAACCAAAAACGCTTTTTAAACGTTTTTCATGGGCATAATTTAACTTGATGATATATTTGACTTAGCGGACATTGGTTATTTCTTTTGATATGTAATATATGTATACTGTGATATAACTCCGCCATTGGTGTTGGATGGATCACTGTAGCCCAATGGTTTCCAATGCCAGCCTCAAGTCTGGATAAAAAAGGGTTGGAGGGCAAAGCCAGCGATGTACCCCTCGTAAGAACAGTGCTTGAAGAACTAGAACGATAACCTCGGATGACGCATGACGGACAAACTAACGGATTAACGACATGGGCTAAGAATCCAAAATTAAAATGAAAGAACATGAGCTTATGGAAGGGACGTGATCAAAAGGCAGTGATAGAAGTGAATATTCATAAAATCGATGTCTGTGCCTTATCTGAAATCAGAAGAAAAGATAAAGAAATGACTAGATACCAAAAGTATATACTGTGGCGAAAGCAAAAGAACAGAATTAGTAGTTTAGGTTTTGGAATATTTCTACATGAAGAATTTAACCATACGTAAAAGATCATCGCATGACACGTCACTATTAAAAGTAGCACGAGATGGGAAATCAATATGTTTAGTCTTTTTTATAAGATGCTATTTTAATTAATTTTAACTTTATTTCTTTATATACACCTACAAAATACAGTGTGCGACTGAACTTACGAACTTTTCGAATTTTTAAATTCATAAGGTAAGGTGTATTCTTTGTAGTAAATCGTAAATATAGGCAATTAAATTATTGTGTCACTGAAGATAAATTTTCCAAAATTCGTTGAAATTATACAAATTATGCACCCAATAATATAAATGGCTAATATGTATAATGTATATTCTAATCATAAAGATTTTTAAGTTTTTCCTTTACGTTAACTTTTTATATTATTTTAATCACGTCTTCTAAAGAAAATTTTGTTAAATATTTCTATTTTAAATTAATAAATTCCGAGATGTTGTTGCTACTATATGACTCATGATAGTGTTTTGTGTTACTTATTTATACAACTACAGAAATATTTTTCTAGGTAGCACGATGCTGTATTAAGTGATATTCCAAATGTTGTCATTTTCAGTTAAAAAATAGTAATAAAGTGCATGTAACGTAAATAAGTTCAAAGGCTATTGATTGTTGTTAATTTAACAAAAAAAAAAAACATTATTGTAAACAACTCTTCACGAGATTGAACCAACAAAGTAGGTTTTAACTGCAAATAACCTTGGCTTTCCATAAATGAGCTAATAGAAGTATCATCCTTTTCTATAGAATAAGATTATTTAGATTCTTTATCTGGCCTTGTTATATTGTAAGTAAAATATAGTATGATTATATTTTGTTTTTAAACAAGTGTAATCAAAGATCTTACATAATTTCTCTAGAGAGAATTATTTGTGATCATTAAAATTTTTATATTCATTATGCCTACTATTGTGCGACCAAAACTAAAGTGAATTAATTAAAAAGGGCCATGGAAACGTTTTTCAAGTTGGCATCAATCTCAATGACATTTTGTAGCCATTTCATCACAGCTGAATTCGTGGTATTTGTCAACTTTATATGTTATTCTCAGTATTTTAAAATAAAATGGGGATAGTTATTGTAACTGCACGACACATACTAAATGAACTGTGATGAAGTACAAACTTTGTTTAATTATATAAGTCATAAAACATGAAATAACAAAATTATATTACAGTTTAAACAACAGTATCTAATTATCTGGTGTACCTACTTCACATAAATAAGCAAAAAATTATTGGTATCAATCAAAATTTTAAGCGTTTTATTTATGATTATGCAGATGCATCATGATCAAGTGTTTTTCAGAAATCAAATTTTATAATCCCAATTCGTCGTTAATCTTTCGGGACCTACAACTATTAATATTTTATTCCGATAAAATAAAAGGAATATCGATAAAGTGTTAAATTACAAGAAAAGTAGCATATTTAATACGTACTAAAAAATTCTTTAGGTGTTTTTTAAATACCTACCGTTAATAATACCGTAAATTGGGCATACAACTATTTTTAGATTTAAGTAAAGACTTGAACTTTTCGTCAATGAACTATTTCATAATAAGCTGTTCTACTATGCAATACGTGTCTAGCAATGCGCTGATCTATAAATTATTTAAACAATTGGTCGAAGGTTATGTCGACAGAACTTCCCTCGTCTTTAAATTACGGTTCAACACATCCCGCTTCTTTGAAAAATTATACAATTTGGTTTTATCATATTATATACATAAAAAGAATATAGATAACATCAGTAACATTGTAAAAAATTCGTCGAAGGTTACTTCGCCAGAACTTCCGTCATCCCTAAAGTACATGAAATATATACAACATTTTCGAAAAATTATAAAATTTGATTTTGCGAATTTTAGTTTTTTATGAGAGCTCCTATAAGTTGAAATAAACATATGTATGCAGTGTTAACATAACTGTAAAGAAATCTGCTACGCGTATGTTTCAAATGAGTTTTTAGTTTACAAAATTATGTGATGCGCCATCAACATGTTTGTAAGAACACGTATATCAATTTGGATAGGTGCAGTGTAATATTAATAATAACAGTACTGCATTCTCAAATTTTCGGTAAAATGAAGTGAGCCGTTCCTGAATTATTCAATAAAATCAACTGACACATTCATTAATTTTTTTGAGCCAGCAGTTGTAAACAAACCTAAAGTCTAAGTATAGACTCATCATATTTTACATATTTTAAATAGGATTTATTAGGCAAAATTTTGCGATGACGTCATCAATTTTTGGAGGGAATAAACAGGTATATGTTGATTAAAAACTTACCATTTTTACAATAATTTCAAAATGTTTGTAAGTTTTCAAAGCATTCGATTTTGTAGTTCCTGATTTAATCAATAAAATAAATTGACTCATCATTCATTAATTTCATTAATTTTTTTATTAGTATAAGCAAATCTAAAAAATATGAAGCAATTGTGAATCACAAGTATAAGGCTCATTTTTATTTTTTTTTTTAAATCTCGACATTTGGGATAAAAACTCAACAGGTATTCATAAGCTACACGTGTTTAATTTAAATTTCGATTTAAGACCCATTTACTATGTACAATTTTGAGGTGACGTCATCACATTGTTGGTGGGGATGATTATACAAACTTTGCTATATACATGATATTCATAATACACATGTAAAATTTTACAACAATCTGTCCGGTCATTTCGGATATTATCGTCACGGACGGCGGATAGACAGATAGACCCATTTTTCGTACTCTAGGGGTCATGACCATCGAGAAAATATAAAAACAACCAGTCGCCCGATTCAGTAAAAATGGTACTTTGTACATATATACATTCTGACCACATAAAAAGGAGTGCCGCAAGAATCTGTTTTGGGTCCACTATTGTATCGTATTTATATAAATGATTTGGAAATTAGGAACGCTATTATGCATGGTGATGCAGCTAAAAATAAATCTAATAATATATGTACTACAGAAAACAAGCTCA